AGCGCAGCATTTGGGAGATCCCTGTCTGAGAGGCAGCGACCACGGGATGGAGCAGAGGGCCCGTGCCACTGAGGCCAGGAGGCATGCTTCCTGACCTGTGGCAGCAGATGCCACGGCACTGAGCCACTGAGAGGCTGAGGACCACGGAGAGTTGGCTGCAGAGAGGCACTGCTGTGGGCCAGTGGCAGACCCTTCATGTCTGCTGATGGACGCATCTGGTTGTTTCAGTCCGTTTCCACTTGACACACGGGACGCACGCAGGAGGCAGAGCTGAAATCCTAAATGACAAGGCACGTGTGCATCTTCACGACACGCGCCCGGGCGGCGCTCTGTCCCGCTGCGCACAGGGCGGCTAGGAGCTGGAACCCGCTTTACAGCCCTGACCACAAGTGCATCCGGTTTCCACCTTCTGTACTGACACCCCATCCGAGGACATGAAACCTCGCATGCAAATCAGGGGAGAAAAAACAGGAAAAACAGAAAAAAAAGCTGAAGCAGCCCTCCTCATCCCCTTAGTGTTCCCAGTACAGGGGTGTGCTCTCTGCCTTTCAGGGGACCCTCCTCCTCCCCAGAGACAGAGGACACAGTGCAGGTCATCACCAGGGTTTCCAGGCCATCTGCCCTTCGATGGCCTGGGAGACAGGACACCAGACAGTCACCTGCATTACCAGACCGCCCGGCATGCACAGCCACCAGGCTGAGAGGCCCTCAGGGCTCCAGTGGCCCCAGTGGCCCTTGGCAGAAGACACACAGCACATAGGGTGCCCTCCCGCCCCCCCCCCCCCCCCCCCCCCCCCCCACGTGCTTCCTGTCACATTGCTTGTCACCTTTGTGTTGTGTGTGCCCTGCTTCTCTGTGTGTTGGGTGTATCTCCTCCAGGCAGCGGTTCTCAACCTGTGGGTCACGACCCCTTTGGGGGTCGAACCACGTTTTCACAAGGGTCGTCCGATTCATAACAGTATCAAAATGACAGTGATGAAGTAGCAACAAAAATAATTTTATGGTTGGGGCGGGCACCACCATCTGAGGAAATGTACTAAAGGGGTCACGGCATGAGGAAGGTTGAGAACCACCGAGCTAGAGGGTCCGTGAGGAGACGGCAGGGTTGTGCGTCTGTCTGCTTGCTCCCGGGGGCATCTGGGGACCCTCATCTCTGCGGGCTCTCGGCGCTGTGGGCGCAGTAGCCAACAGATGTCATGGAATCAACACTCCCGGAGTATTGCTGGGCCGAGGCGTGGGAGCCTGCCCGCTGATGGAGAGGACACTGTGAGGGATGGTCTGTGATGGTGGTTGTGTGGACGTTGTGAGGAATCGTGGGGTCAGCTTGGTCCATGGCAACCCCGTGCGCAGCAGACACAATGCCGCGAAGTCTTGCGCCAGCCTCACCATGGTCCCTCTTGTGCCCATTGACGCAGCCATGGCGTCCATCCCTCTTGCTGAGGGCCGTCCTCTCTTCCACTGCCCCCCTGGGGCTGCTAAGGATCGTCATCGAGTGGACTCTACTCACAGCAATGCTGCGGTCAACATCCACACCGCCCAGGCCTGCGCCATCCTCAGACTGTGAGCTGTGAGCCCCGGTGACAGCCACGGGGTCTGTCCCTCTTCTCGGTGACTCTCAAGCATGAGGGTCATCCTCAGGGACAGGTCCCACCTGTATGGTCACCTTTTCAGGGACCATCATGTTGGCCCCGACCCATAGTGACCCTGGGCCACACGACAGAACGAAACGCGGCTCGGGCCCACGCCATCCTCACCACAGTTCCTAGGCCGGAGCCCACCGATGCGGCCACAGTGCATCTCCTAGACCAGTGGGTCTCAACCTTCCTGATGCTGTGACCCTTCCGTACAGTTCCTCATATTGTGATGAGCCCCCCTCAACCATAAAATTATTTTCATTGCTACTTCATCACTGTCATTTTGTGACTGTTATGAATCGGGTGACCCCTGTGAAAGGGTCATTTGACCCCCAAAGGGGTTGTGACTCACAGGTTGAGAACCGCTATCCTAGAGGGTCTTTCACGTTACCAAGCATGATGTCCTTCTCCAGGGACTGGTCTCTTCCAACAACATGTCCACAGGACGTGAGACGGAGGAGGCCTGGTGGCGCCAACAGTGAAGTGTTCATCAGCCACTGACTGGAAGGCTGCTGGTTCAAACTCACCAGCGGTTGCACAAGAGGAAAGTCTGACAACTGGCTCCCACAGATTTTTGTCGGGAAGACCCTCTGGGGTGTGTCCCCCCTCCCTCACCGTCCGGCAGGGGCTTCCAGTTGGAATAGGCTCAAGTGTACACAACGAAACAGGCAGCAGATGTAGTCGGTTAAAAGGTAGTCTCTTATCAGCTTATGACCCATTTTATTATTTTTTTAATCATTTTGGGGGGGCTCATACAACTCTTATCACAATCCATCCATCCATCCATTGTGTCAACTACATCTGTACATAGCTTGCCATCATCATCTTCTTTCTACCTGAGCCCTGGGTATCAGCTCATTTTCCCTCTTGACGGCCCATTTTAAAGTTGTTTCAATTTTTTTAAAAAGGACAGGGAAATACAGGAGGATTTAGCCTTGGGGGAGTCCCTCACACACAGACCAGGGCTGCACAGCACAGCCTGGCTGTCAGGCCGAGGGCAGTGGAAAGTGGCCCGTGGCTGATGCCATCGGGTTCAACTCCAGAACCTGCTCCTCTCAGCTCTCTTCGGACCCATTTTGAACTTGTTCTTGCTTTTAATTTTGTCTGCTTCCTTTCTGGTTGAGGTGTTCCCTGTGTTTTACGTTGTTGTCGTGGTTAGCGCCTGTTTCCTGGTGTCCAGTGTTTCCCAGTCTCGATGAACTCCAGGACAGGTCAGTCTGGACAGGAGGTGGCTCGGACACTGGGTGGCTGGTTGGTCAGTGGGCGGGATGGCCAGTGTCCAGTGGTCAGTGGGCGGGAGGGCCTGGCCTTCAGGGGGTCAGCACGTGGAGGAAGGCAGCTGGGCCAGGAAGCAGGTGTGTTCTGATGAGGGGCAGACTCAGAGGAGGAAGGGCCCCGGCACAGATGAAGGTCTAGCCAAGGCCAGAGAGCTGGTGGCTGTGCTGGAGAGGAACCCCCACCCTCAGTGCCCAGACGGTCCTAGTGCACAGACACCCCTGCACCCAGAAATCTTGAGCTCCCAGCCCCCAAGCATCAGGCTCCCCGGTGTCTGGACCCACCCTCACTCCCGAAGTACCTCTGAGTGCCAGGACTTCCGAGTGTGCGGACCTTGGGTAGCCCAATCCCTGGGCCCTGGGACCCCTGCAGGGTGGACTCCCCCTTCTCACAGGGATCCCTCAACACCTGGACCCCTGGAGGTCCCAGACCCCCTGAGCACCTGTACGCCTGAGTTCACAGACACCCCCAATACTCAACCCCCAATTCCCAGACCCCCTCAAGCACTCGGTCCCCTGAGCCCGGAGGGGGCCCCAATCAAGGGCAAGGTGTGCAGGGGCCTCAGGCTCTGACGGCCCATGCGGCGGAAGGCCGGAGGGCCCATTGACCCAACATCGATGGCCGACGCAGCTTTGCTACGCGAGCCATAAACAATATCCGCCCCTCGGGGATTGATGAGTCAGAATTGACGCCTTGTAGCCGATCCATCACTTCCGCCCTGGCCCTAATTTGCCTGTCCCACTTATCGCCCTGCCTGTGACTGCAAAATCAAAGGACAGTGTCACGTGACCGGCCTGGGGCCCGTCCACTTCCCTCCCCCTTGGGAAGTCTGCAACACGGCCCACCCGGCGAAAGGGGCTGCCCTCACCCCGGGGGCCATGCCCCCCCCCCTACCTGGCAGGTCACTTCCTGCTGGCCATCACCACCAATCCGTTTCCCGTCTCAATGGGTTGACTGAGGCTGAGGGCTTCAGTCCACGCGGTTGCACCACATGGGTCTTGTGATGACTGGCTTGGTTCACGCACGCAGCGTGGGTGTCCGAGGTTCGCCGCGGGGCCGCATCGGTGCACTAGATTGCCATCCACAGAGCCCTTGGCCACCGAGGCGTCATCTGACTCTGGAGGGCTCCCTGGGGCTTCAGGGATCGCCAGCCTCAATGGGAGCAGACAGCCTCATCTTTCGCGTACGGAGCGGCTGGTGGGTTTGAACCGCCAAGGTCGAGGTCAGCAGCCCAGTGGTGAAGGCACAGCAGCCCCAGGGCTCCTTACCTGTTGCCTGTTGGTGACACTGGCACTGCCCCCATCCCCTGGCTCGTCCGAGAAGCGCTGCAAGAAGCACGCGTGCCCGTCTCTCCCCATGTCCCAGGATCCTGCACTTCCTGATAAATACCTGGGAGCATGTTCTAGGTCTCTGTGTCTGAGGGGCCCTGAGGGGCCTCTGCTAACACATCCTCTGACCTGCCGGCCCTTGGCTCGAATCCCTCCAGGTGTCCGCTTGTGGCTGGGACTACTCTCATGGCCTCTGACCTCTGACCAGTCCTGACCACCAGCCTTCCTGGCCACTTCCCCTTTGTTCTTCTCAACCAAGTCACTCTTGATCTCCTCTCCTCGTCCACCCTCTGGAAGGGCAGGTGCATGGCCACCTCGCCCTCCAGAGACCACCTGGCCCCTGATTGCCCCCCCAGGTCACCCCTGCGCAGGGTCCGCTGGGACCACACAGTGCTTGTGCAGGCACGTGCCACACTGGCTCTCAGAAGCAGGTCTGCTCCGCCGGCTCCCCTGAGCAGAAACCCAGCCAGGCCATGGGCATCACCAGCATCTCAGCTCCACCAACCGGGCCCCAGCCTGCCCACTGTCCCTACATCCCAGCCAGCTGGACCTTCCTAGGAAGCAACCTTCCCACTAAGCAGAGAGTGACACAGAGGGGCAGCAAGGACCTTCCGGCTCCCGGCGTGAGTCCTCTGGTCACACAAAGCCGGCAGTATGGACAATGGGTGCTGCCTGCAGGTAGGGGCCCACACAGGTGCACAGTCTGGAGCTGCCCAGCCGAACGGTCTCCTTCCTGCAAACTCATGTCGGCTTTGGGGGCACCATGACCATCACCTTCCCACCACTGTCCCTGCGATGGTGTCCGCCGACCTCCTGGCTGTGGCTCCTGCCCCCACCGCTGGCTGTGCCGTGGATGCGGAGTGAGAGCACGAAGGCTGCCCGGGGGTTGCCTCCACGGTGCAAAGGCATCGACCTTGTGGATCATACAAAGTGTGAGTAGCCCGGAGAAGAAGGGGGATTCTGGAGCGCTTCCTGTGCTCACGTGGAACATGGCCTGGGTTCAGGAGGCAGCTGTGTGAACAGAACAAGTGTATCCCGCATGGCTCGCCGTCAGGACGGGGTGTGTCAGGGCAGCGTCCTCTCACCGTACTTGTTCAGTCTGCGTGCCGAGCAGCTCCTCCGAGAAGCTGAATTGTGTGAAGAAGGGTGCGCCATCAGGATGGGAGGGAGGCCCGTGAACAACCTGTGGCGAGATGCAGGTGACGCGAGCCTGCTCTCTGACCAGGGGGAAGGACTGGAAGGGCTTGCTGATGAAGCTCAGGGAGGGCAGCCTTCAGGAGGGGTGACGGCTCAAGGTGAAGACCTAAAGCCTCACCAGTTACCAATAGGTGGGTCCCATCATGGTAAACGGAGGAAAGACCGAAGGCCTCGAGGTGTCCTCCTGCATGCAGTCACCAGCGGTGCGCGTGGAAGCAGCAGTCGAGAGATCAGAGGGTGCATTGCGTGGGGTCGAGCCGCTGCACAGGACCTTGTTAGCGTGTTGAAGACTGAGGAGGCCACTTTGAGGACTCGGGTGCGCCGGAGCCACGCTGTGGTGTTTTCAATCACCCACCTGCGTCCAAAAGCTGGACGCCGAAGAAGGAAGACGGAAGAGGAGCCGATGCCTCCGGTTGTGGAGCTGGTCAAACAGCAACAGAAAACACACGGAAAGACCACGGGCTTCCTAAAGGAAAAACAGATCGGTCTTGGAAGATTTCCTGCCAGAATGCTCCTGGAAGCCCGGGCCGCGAGACTTCATCTCGTGCACTTTGCACGCGTGTCATCCGGCGGAGAGAACGGTCCCTGGAGAAAGGCTTCACGCTGGGTGCGGAGGAAGGACCGTGCAAACGAGGAAGGCTCTTGACAAGCGGGGTCGGCACGAAGGTGGCTTTGACAAAGGACTCGCACGTGGCAGCAGCTCTGAGGAGGGCACAGCACCGGGCGGTGTTTCACTGTGCTGTGCGCCGGGTCGCTTTGGGTCAGAACTGACTCCGTGGCACCTCGCAGACAAAACGAACGCCGGAGGAGGCTGGGTCCCAAATCTCATTACCCCGAGGGATGGAAAAGGCAGAGGAGCTCAGGAGAAGACAGCTGTCCAGCAAGAACCGTCAATGAGCACAGGGCTCCCAGCCAGGCAGGAACCAATACTGCTCACTCGTTGCAAACCCCCCACCTTCGGAACCGTGAGGCAGCACCTGTCTCTTCTTTCAAGTCACGTGCTCACAGCGTGTCTGTTCCAGCGCCTCTGGGTGACCGAGCCAAGGAATTGGAGAAGGCATCAGAAGCCATAGAGCTAAGGAGTCCTCGTGGTACAGTGGGTTACAAATTGGGCTACTAACCTCAAGGTTGGTAGTTCTAAACCACCAGCCACTGCTCAGGAATGAGATGAGGCTTTCTATCTCTGGAAAGAGTTGTAGTCTCAGAAACCCACAGGGGCAGTTCTACCCTGTCCTACGGGGTCACATGAGTCAAAATTCACTGGATGGTGATGAGGGTGTGGTAGTTACATAATCTGTTGTCAATTTGAGACTTAAGAGTAAAGGGATGGAGTTTAATCTGTCGATCAGGTCGAAGCTTGATGACCTCACTTGGAGGCACTAAGGAGCTAGAGCTCACTGGAGGCAGGACACAGGCCCACTCCCTGTGAGACTTTACTGACGAGGAGCCTGATGGAGCTACACTGATGCAGTTGGAGCCCTGGAGGAGCCACGTGGAGACCCACACCAGCACTGTTCCACCATCACTGGATCCACAAGACTTTCCACCCACTGGCCTGTGATCTTCCTGCATGCGGCATTATTACACGGCTGTGTGAGTCTAAAGAGGACTTTATAGATTGGTATTGGACATATGGACTAATATTGGACTTATGGACTTGATCTGGACTGGGCTGGGATGTTTTCTCAATATTTAATGGCTCTGGGTATAAAGCGCTTTCTTAAACACATATGAGTCTCCCTGGATTTGCTTCTCTAGTCTACCCGCACTGACACATTGGATTAGTGCCCTGCTAGTGCTGTGGGTTAGGCATTAGGCTGCAAGCTAACCTCAAGGTCAGTGGTGGTTCAAGCCCACCAGCCGCTCTGCGGGAGAAAGATGAGGCCGTCCATTCCCGTCATGAATCACAGTCTCCGAAAACCTACTCTGTCCTATAGGGTCGCTACCAGTTGGGACCGACTTGAGGGCAGTAAGTTAGTACTTGCTTATATTTTCTCCAAGAAATGGTGACAAAGGAAGCTGAAAGTGAGTGAATAACAGGTGCCCCTCAGGCCGAGATAGAGAGCTGAGTGCAGGGGAGGAGGACAGGGAGGAAGACTCTGGGTAGGAAGGAGCCTGCCAGAAGGATTTTGTCCCTGGAGCTCTGAGAAGGTTTGCGAAAAACAAAACAAAATAAAAGGGGGAAAACCAATCCACGCATTTTTTTAAACCCACTAAAGTAATGAAAACCACACAGGGAAGGAGGCGAAGCGGGTGGGTGGGCGGGTGGGGGGTGGGTGACTTCCAGCAATTGTAATCCACAGTCCTTTCACCATGCGTGTCCAGTGGGAAATATTCTAAGGAAATATTCTAAGGACAAACAGGAAAGGAGGGGAAACCTGCCAAGAAATCTTAAATCACACTTGTGGTCCTATTGCTAATGGAAACGTTGGCATTATTATTTTGAAATTATTATAGGTATCTTGTGGGATAAAGCATGTAAGTAATTACGTTGCTGTCGCAAGGACCCACGATTCTTAGCGTTAAGAGGGAAGCAGGGGGCGGGAGATGAAATTGCAAATCAAAGCCATGAGGTTCAAAACTCTGTAATCTTAATAAACCATCCGAAAATGAAATTAAGAAAACAATTCCATTCACAACAGCTTCGAAACGAACAAAATACGTCGCGATAAATTGAGCCAAGGAGGTGCCAGACTTGTAGCGCTGGCAACCACAAAACAGCTGAAGGAAATTCAATCGCTTCTGAATAAATGGAAAGACAATAGGGTTTGTGAATGGGGAGCCCGGGTGCTTGAAGGTGGCTGGTCCTGCTGTCAGCTGTCGTCAAGCATGGAGACCCCCCCTGCCCCACCCCGCCCCATGTCACCCAGTGCAACTGTGCGGCCAAGTTCTCGGGAGGTCGTGTCTGTGGAAGGGGAGAGCCAGGCCTTTTCTCCCACGCAGCTGCTGGGTGGGGCTGGAACCTCCAGCCTCTATCGTTCACAGCTGTGCCACCTGGGCCCCCTTTGAGGATGGCAAGATTGCCCAAACGGCACAGAGTTTTGACATCACCCCGCTCAGCCTCCAAGCTGATTTCCTTTTGAGAGGCTGCCGCTAAAATCCAAATGGAAACACAAGGGACCCGGAGGAGCCAAAAGACTCTTGAAGAAGGACCAGGTAGGAGCACTCGGGCATCTCCACTTCCAGACACAGCTGGCAGTCAAGACCGTGCGTGCGGTTACTGGCACCGAGACGAACCTGCCGAGCGATGGGCTCCACCTGGCAGCGGTGGCGGCGGCTGCGGTTGCTGCGTGCAACGGAACGAAGCAGCCCTGGGCCTGCACCGGCCCCACGACTCCGGCTCTGCCTGAGCCTGTGCTGCAGCCACGGGGCATCCGGTCATCTCGCCGAGGCCCTTCCTCTCGTTCGCCCCCCTCCACTTGACCAGCATGACATGCTTCTCCAGCAACACGTCTCCCCTGACAGCATGGCCACGCTCTGCGAGAAGGCTCGCCCTCCTTGCCTCTGTGGAGCACGCTGGCTGTGCTTCTTCCAAGACAGAGCGGCTTGTTCTTTCGGAAGCCCGTGGTACTTTCAGGATTCCTCACCAGCACCATGGTTCAAATGCATGGACTCTTCTTTGGTCTTCCGTCTCCATTGTCCAACGGTCACCTGCATCTGAGGCGATGGAGAAGACCATGCCTTGGGTCAGGCGCCCCTTAGTCCTCAAAGTGACCCTTACTCTTCAACCCCTAAAGAGGTCTTGTGCGGGAGACGGACCCAATGAAATGCATCTTTGGATCTCCTGACTGGATCCAAGCAAGCTGAAATCCTTGGCAGCTCCGATCTTTTCTCTATTTATCATGATGTTGCCTACTGGTCCAGTGGTGAGGACCGGGGTCTTCCTTACATTGAGTCGCCACCCAGACCGAAGGCCACCATCCTTGCTCTTCATCAGCGAGGGCTTCACGTCCCCCTCACTCTCAGCGAGCCAGGCGGTGCCCTCTGCACACCGCAGGTGGTTAGTCAGCCTTCCTCCGGTCCCGATGCTGCGTGCTGCTGCTTCACATGATCTCGCTTCTCTGATGGTTTGACTGTAAAAATGCACAGTCAACCGAGTTTAATCTCTTCAGATTACACCTCTTGGCTTGAAGGAGCTTCCGCCCGGGTTTTGAAGGACCATGGGAAGTTGGGCTGCAGGAAAAGTTCTGGGCAGGTGCGCTGAGGACGATTGTTTCTGTGAGGTTCCAACATCAACATCAGAACTGCTTCCTGGCTCAGAGGCCGTAATCGACGTGCGTCTTAACTTCCTGCGCATCATCAGGAGAGGCCAGTCCCCGGAGAAAGACGTCGTGCTTGGTACACTGGAGGGGCAGCGAAAAGAGGAAGGCCCTCCGCCAGATGGATGGACACTGTGGGCTCAGGCGTGGCAAGAACTGTGAGGCTGGTGCAGGGCCCGGCTGTGTTGCCTCGTGTGCTGGGTGGGGTTGCTACGAAGGAAACTGACTAGAAAGCGCCCCAGGACGAGGATGTGAGCACCCATGGAAGCTCACTGCCTCGGGTCGATTCTGACTCCTAGAGACTAAGAGCCCCAGGCACTCTCTAAATGACCTGGGTTTTTATTTGTTTTGTTTCATTAATTATTGGGCTGAATTGCATGGTTCTTGGTTTGTTTGTTTTTTCAAATTTTCAACTATAAAAAGTTCTATTACAAGATCATGTTCCATCTGGGTCTCTTGACTGAGAGCCATATGAA